TTTTTTTTCTGCACCGCGATATGAGGCTCATGGACAAACAAATCAGGATCAATATGCAAAGTTATCACATATTATCGTACAGTTCAGCGCCGCATGAGAAAATGTGACGAATAATATTAGCACAGCGTCAATTATTATGTGACGACGGAAAAATGTGCTGAATTCCCTGTAATTGCAAACATCACTGCGGTTTAACATAACTACTGAGTAAATGTAAATGTATAAGGACGTTGTATTGCATGGTATTTTACGATAATGACTGGACACGCCAGCCTGATCCAAAGTAAAACGATTTACGATTTTCCTTTTGTTCGTTTTTCAGCAAAACAAATTCACTTTAATTGCCCCAAATAATGTTCTGTGTCGTAAATAAATGAACTAAAGGACAGATTCACGGACGAATAACTTGACCCCAACAATAAGGGAATATAAGTGTAGTCATAGTTGTCTATCCTCGGTTTTTGTCAGTGTTTATCGCCCTGTTTAACTTATACCAAGAACATTCATTTCTATTGTTTCCATAACGTAGAGCCTGAGAGACTTCGTTCACAAACGAGTTTCGGTGTACTATTTTGTTTGTGTTTGCATTTCCTTATGGTATTCTCTCTTTTGTTTAATTTCACGTCCAAAACCTCCATTTCGGTTGCAATTGCTACTCTGAACCGGTGTTCAACAAAGACCATGTCACACCGCAGAAAGTTCACCTGCGAAGACTTTTAAATTATTGTCTTACTGAAAATTGACATCTAATTTTTTTTAATTGGATCAGATGATTTTTTAGTCAGTATCAGTCTGACCTACTTTCATTTTCATAAGCGTATTTGCATTTTTCCCAACCGTACAGTAGATACTCTCATTTCTGAAATGTCTACTAGATAATATAAGTGAACGGTTATTCGTTTTTCGTTAATTTGTTAATTATACTGGCCTAAGGCTACTTACTAGAATAGTTCAGTTCAGGTAAGTATATTGAGGCGCATAATGCAAAGTATATTTATATCCAAGAAATGTCTAAGGTTATTAAACGCTACAGAACCAAACTACTTGCTCACGCAGGTTGCAATATAAATAATGTTAATATAGGCCAGATTGGGTTTAAGAATTTTTTTAGACAAAGAAGCAGTTTATTTTGGATTTATGAAATTGAGGGGAACGCAACTTTGCAAAAAGGCCATTGGTTTCGAAAAAATGAGAGCGTACACCGTTTTAAAAAATAATGTTTTGCATATTTGTTATTTTTTGCCATGACATTAAGCACTATACTTTTGCAGGATTTCAAAAAACGTTCGGACATTCCCTTTTTTTCTTGTATTAACCCTCAAAATTGTCAACGTTCGTAGATGTTCGAAATCTAAATGTCTAATTAAAGACCTTTTTCAAAGCGTTACTTGTTGTATAAAGGGTTGCAATTAACCTTTTGCGCATTAATTTGTGAAGTGTGTCGTGTACATTTATTTTCCTCCGCAATGATTTGACAAAATTGTGTAAGTCTTAGCACATGACCTGAACAGACTGGTGTGCGAGACAGCGATTTCAAATCTTCACCGCCTAGATATGTGATTTTAAGAGATACAGTATTTTAAATTATTTTGCAGATATGTAGAGCATTGTCTATATTTATGGACAGTCGACTGAAAACACCTTTAATGGTTAACTTTTGAACCAGCACATCAAGAAGGATTTGCACCTTTTATTATTCAAAATCTCCAAATAATTGGCAAAGAAATATCACCGATGGCAATTTCTCTCAATATACACTTTTCATTTAGTCTGACGACGACCAAGTGATACCTGTTCGAAGATTCACGTGTACAACTCGATTTTCCGAAGTTCTTCTTTCTTTTTATCATACACCATATGGATTACGACAGCACGTGACTTATTAATTTAAATAAATTATTTAATGACATGCACATTTGGGCGTACAATATACCCTCCCGCTGCGACGCCTCAATCGACACTGTGCGTAATATAGTGACTCAAGTTTCCGCAAACTTCGAAAAAAGCATTACTTTACCTGTAATGCTTTTTTTTCATGAAGAGACTTTATTTACTTGTTACACTTATCTTTCCTTGATTACCACAATTTTCCGTTTTTGCAATTTCCCGGTCTCATAAAATAAGCGTTAATTCTTGGCAAGTTAATATTACTTTAGAAAACATGACAAGTTGTCTTCTTTTTTGCGATATTCCGTTTAATAATGTACGGCCTTTAGGGGCACGCAGCTTTAGCCGTTTTTGTGCAACAGGGGAGTTTCTTATAAAAATTGTTGATTGGCATCAGATGGGCAATCCATTGTAGAGTCAATGTTGCGAGTTGGAACGGATCAATGGCATGTGCCTGTTCCTAGGGAATTTTAGGCCCTACTTAAATTAATGACTGGTACAAAATCCTTCAACAAACCCTTGCAGACTCTGACCGAAAAGATAAAAAGAAACGTGGAGTTGCAGAGCCCCAATCTACTGTGCCCTAGTCACGGACAAACACGTGGGTGTGGGTTTGGGCTAGTGCCCGTGCAGCCAGTATAGTAAATAAGCAAGTAAATAAAATACAACCTATCGTTCTCAGGTTCATTGAGTGGGTTATAGCTATTTACCACAACAGGCACCCACGAACCCAAGTGAGTCAGGATTCGTCCAACTGCAATATCCCGTAAACAAACTGAGATCTGCTATATGCTCCGACCTATCTATTCCCCCGAATCCTTACAAACATTTTTCGAGTTTTAGGGAATCAGACAGCTACTCGAATGGGTTCAGATTCACTGCAGCGAGGTGCACTTCATTAGTTTGACTTTAGGGTATATATACAAAACATTAGTGAATAGAGGCTTGTTTTCGGATACGCTTGACTTTCATTTCTGACTGTAAATTTAGCAAATATAATGAAAATACCACTCTTTTTCAACCAAGACCCAATTTGTGGTTTTGAACTCACTGCACTACAGTAGGGCTTGGGTTGCATGTAAGATGCCAAAGTTTGTAAAAGTCTGAACATTTATCACATACCGGGATGAACGCATTTACGAAAGGTTAGAAGTAATAATAAACAAAATGAGACAAATATTGTTCGTGAAAGAAGTGTAAGAAGTCCTGTGTTTTTTAAGAAAAATAAATTTTCTTGATAAGCCTCATGTTCCGAAGACGTAAAACGTACCTTTAAATGGGAACAATAGATTTAAATCGTTTTCTAATCCAAATGCATAACCTTACCACTTTCTTCATATAAAAAGAACTTTTCCTTTGTCAAAATATTTTAAACGTATTGCTGTTAATTGCCATTACCTACAGATTGAGCTTTTAATTCCGACACATTTTCGAGCGCTTTCAGTGCTGCCAAGCTTCTGTTCATGAATACAGAGTATGTTCGACGTTAACATCAAAACTGCTAAAATAATATATATTAAGAGCACCTACCAAAATGAGTTTTTGGATATTAATTCTTATGAAGACGTTTATGTGGACCATATCACCAATGCTTCAAAACCGCAAAACACATTGTCGAGCACAAAAACTTGATGTGCCATCTACGCGATGCGGTAAAACAAAATGCGACCAAAACGTTATTTACTGCATT